TTAATAGCTGTAGTGAGCTCTGAGTTGGTTACTGATGGTGGTGTAACTGCCTTCTCGACTGCTGGCTTAGCAGCATTCACTGCTCTAACCTCAGCTGTTGCAAAATCACTACTAGCATGGCTCTTAGCCCACATGTCTTCCTCAATAATTGCATGCTGTTTAGCAGATGCAAAAGTTTTGTGATTCTGTGGCAGCAACAAGCGTCGCAAATGCAACTGCAATCCTTCGATAAACACTGACAGAAGTAAATCCTGTCTCTGTGCTTCTGCTGCAGGGTCACTGCTTCTTTCCACTGGTACAGTTTTGTACGAAAGAGCCTCTATACGTGCTGCAAATTGTCGCACTGACTCGTGTGGTTTCTGAAAAGCCTGAATAAGAGCACGGATGTTAGAGTGCAAATTGTGCACTGAACTGAACCTCTCTTTCAACGCTTTCACAACATAGTCAAGACTGGCTTCTTTCTTTAACCTAGGATTATTCCTAATTAATTCTGCAGCCTCACCTGCCACCTTGACTCTGATCACTGTTAACTTATCTTCATCTGACCAACCCACATGAGTGGCAATGAGATCAATCCTATCTAAGAAGTCATTCAGACTAATTCCCTTGTCTGCACCTGAGAACAGAGGAACAGAATCCAGAGGATCAGAACCAAAAACTGATAGAGCCATTACTTCTTGACTCTCCTCCCAGTCTATTGCACTATTACTAGCCGCTCTGGCTGCTCGTTTTGACACTTTCTTTGGCATTTTAAACTGCGATCAGCAATTTCCAGCACATAAAGTAGGGATGTATCCCAATGTGTGATTAACACGCGTGCCTTTTAACCTTATGTTGCAAACATACAGTTGCAAAAGTGTGAAACAGTAATCCTCAAAATCAATATGTAAATATGCAATACAAAATTTTGCACAAAACAAAATACTTAACTAAACAGGTACTGCGTGAAAATGTTTGTGTTGGATACAATAGTTTTAAAGTCCAAATGTGTATCAGTAGTACATATCTGGTATGCAACCTCAAACAATAAGTATAAAATAAGCACAGTAATACGACCACTGTATAGGCCTGTCACTGTAACTAACTAACGAGTAGGGTTTCAGTAAAAAGCCTAGACATGTGGAAGAAAACTTTCACATAAATATGCAATAGTGCACATGACAATCACCAGTCTCAAGTCAAAATTAAGTTCCACTATAAGCGCAAGCCAAAAGTGATGCAAAAAAAAAACAGCACAACAAAATTGTTAAGTGCTAATAATTTGGTTCGAAAGTTCACGGCACCAATAATGTTATGTAGAAAAATCACGGTACCAATAAGGTTTCCTACTCTGTTGACATAACACTTAAAATTGTTTTTTAACAGTAATATACTAATATCAATAAGCCCAGTACATTTGCGTTGTGTTTTCGGATTAACCCTGAAATCAATTTGAGAATGAGACGGGTGAAAATCATTGAGCACACACACAAAAAGAAATAAATAAACATTGACTGATCTAGAAAAGTGAGCCTATTTATTAAAATTTTTAAGAGTTACTTAGTCCAGTAATTTGTAAGCAATTAATATTCAATCAGTACTGTTAACATATTGATTATTACACAGTGCAGAATTAACTTAGTAAGCAAATCATATTCAAGCTGAACTGTAAAATATTGCTTTCAACAAAATGCATACCTCTACAGAGTAATATTACTTCTATCTTAGACTCAATAATATCAAACTATTATTGCTATTACATTCAGATAAATATGATTAGATAAAATTTTGGATAAATTAACAATACCCTCCCCGGGGAGAAAAAAAAGAATAATTAACAAGTTATACATTCCAAAAAAAAAACATTTCACACAGAGTAATCAATACCAATGTAATTCTGGTTATTGCACATAGTAACTTTCTATTTTCAAAAGAATGATTTAACCGGGTAATATGTTAATTAAAATCAGGCTATTACATCCTACAAGCAATTTAATCCCTAAGAGGAGCAAAGAAGCTCAAATAATGACACCTTTACCAATCAATCTTCACCAAGAAAGAAATTCACAAGTTCAATTAAATAATTTAATGAAGAATAAATTTCCTTAACCAATCTGACTAATTTACATTCACAGTTTCAATTAACTAATTTAAATAATGATATATTTCCTTGGCCAATCTAATAATTTACTTTATGGACAACAAAATGATTTCATTAGAATTAGGTTAGTTTACTCAACTACAAAATTTTTAATTCAACTAATTAAGTTATTTCAATCACTATTAACTATTTTAGTTGTTAGAATTACTTATTAGAAATGTCTAGTAAACTTTACTATAAGAATTGCCTATTATAAATTTTTTCTTTTTTTTTTTTTAAATATCCGACCAACAAATAAAAGAAAACAAATAAAAGGAACTTATCTTATGAAATACAAGCTGCAGATGAACAGGAGGAGGAGAAATGCCCTCATATTTAAAAATTATCAAGATGCCAAGGAGGACGGCTGCTGAGCGTAGTAGAAAATGAGAAGAGTTCGTGGGTGGATAGTTTTTCAAAAAAGTCAAAAATCCAATCCAATATTGAAGTTAGCATTTTTGTCGTGGGACACCGGAGCTAGCGATGCAGAAGAAGACTCTTGATGGCGGCAATTAATTCTTAAAGATTAGGAAGGTCGAAGCAGATGGAAACTATTCATGGAGGAGAGACTGAAATTTCTTCTTAACGGCACTAGAACTAGGCATCACTCTTCTTCGCTTTTTTCCTATTTTAATTATCTTTGAGTAACTTACATATTAAGGCACGGCAATGAGGAGCCTATAATTTAGTCGAGGTCATAATTCGTGCAACTAAGTCCCTCGTTCAAAACTCCAGGGCAAGAGGCCCGTAGATCCAAAGGCGGAAAAATGCATTTTCCGAGATGAAATTCTGCTGCCAACGAGACAGCGTCAGATGGTAAGTAGAAAGTGCAAAAAGTGTAAAAAAAGTGAGCTCGTCCCCTAAAACAACCCGTTAAAAGGGAGAGCGCCGGACTGCCAAGTTGGCGCAACCCATTTTTCGCCGAAAGTTGAAATAGTTGCAACCACAGCATACCCTCATGTTATCAAACTCGCCAAAACCACTATTTTGAAACCTCAACGGAAAATCTATGTCGCCAAACCCTCGCCAAATAACCACCACCTGCGACCGGGGGAGATTAGGAATTTCAACAACCCTGCAAGGGTCCCAACGAAAGAACGCTGAAAACTCGCAAAAAGTGACTTTTCAACCGGAAAGAAGGCATTTCATCCCCCTTTAACTAAATCACAAGCGAAACGAAGAAAAATCTACTCATTAAAGCTCATAACTGAAATGCAATTAAAGTTAGAAAAATGAAAGTTATGCCAAATTAAAGAGCTAATTTTTCTGCAACTAATGATATTAAATACTAAGAAATCAAATTAATTTTTGACATGAAAAACTGAGTTTATTACGTAGAAACAAAAATACTTATCCATTGTTTGCGTGTACAAGATTGAAGACGCAGTTCGCGTAAACTCGGAAAGCCAAAATATATTACACTAGAATTAATAGGCCCAAAAAGAATATAACCAAACTTGTGTAGCTCAAATTTTGAATAATTACAAATTAAAATTTTGATTTTTATGAATCACTTAATTAAATTAAATTCGCCAACACAACATCGTGTGGCTAGTTCCTTACCTTTATTTTAGGGGAGTTTACTATGGCCTAGAGCAGTGTTAATTGTAAATTAAGACTAGTCCGTGATTTTTTGAGATTTTGATATTTAGTATTTGATTTGTATTTTGTATTTGATTTGTATTTTGTATTTGATTTGTATTTGATAGCATTTGATTTGCATTTGATAGCATTTGACTTGTTTTATTTATTGCATTTAGCGTTCATGTTGTTTATTGCATTTATGCCATAGTTGTAAGTTTGGCTTCCTGTCCAGGGATTGTACTGCCCGGGACGTGCAGTCCTTGGAAAGGGGGCAGTGTTACGAATTTGGTATTTGAATAGCTAATGTTAGTTGAATTATAAATTAAATGGTTTTATTTCCCGCGCAGTGCAGCGCGTGACGAATATTAAAGGAAAGCTAAGCCGGAAGATTAAAAATACAAGAGCGCGTGCATTTAACATTAAATAAATAAATATCTCTTTTTGATTTCGAGAAAGTTCCAGAAAGTTCTCCCGCTCGATTTTAAAATCTTATAAAAAGGAGGAAAACCTCTCAACTCAATTAGTCAGTTAATTTAGTTAGCTTGTTGTTGTTTTAAGAGTGTGTTAAGAAAACTGCTCTATTTGATTGTAGTAATATAAGTATAAGTAATATAAGTAATATAGTATAAGTAAAGTAAGTATGAGTAAATATAAGTATTTTTGCAAAACTTTAATGTAAAATGTTTGCTCTGAAAGAGAAGGGGCTATGTGGCTATGTTTGATCGGCGTTCAAATTGATAGAGTTTTATTCAAAATCTTCGTTACCCTTAGGTCGTGTTTTACCTTGAATTTAAATTTAAGGCTAACACACTGATTTCTTTCTATTAAATTCTGAGTAACAAGGTTGTTCAAGAATAAATATTTTAAAATGAAGGTCGACTTTGGACAAAAACTCACAGAGATTGAACTGAATGCACGTACGGCGACTTACTATTTCTCAGTAATAAAATGTAACTATCACTCAGTTTAATCTAACCTCGTTAACTGATTTTCATTTAAAGGTGCTTTCCATTTGTTTACGTTTTAAATCTACTGAAACTATCTGTGCATATTTTTCTGCTGCTTTGCTTGAAAACTATCTGCACTTAGTTTTCATACAATAATGAAATATGTGAAATACGACATGATAAAAAATGAGTACAACATTAAACATTTCAAATACAAAAGGCATTATAAATCACTTCACCTGTAATTCAGGTCATTTATGTATCACATTAGTAGATTGCTATGTATTTAAGTTCTGAGCAGTATTATGATATATGATTCCTTACATATTCTATTAAATTCACAGCATGTAACTGTGGCAAAGGTTCAAACTGCACATTTTCCGAAGGCTGGACTATTACGAAAACATGCATATGCAAAAAAGGATATGAAGTTGAGGAGAATATTTGCAAGGGTATGAAATTTCCCATTTTTCATGAAAATTATGTTCTTAATATTATAACACCTGAATAATGTATTTTCATTTCATTATAAGAAAGATTATTTTTTGATAAATATATATCATGTAGAATTTATTCGGTGAAAGAGTTCTGTCATTTTAATAACGCAATATATTTTACAGATTCCTGTGTTTTCATATTTCCTCATTCTTTCACAGTTTGCTAAAAATGCATTTAAATAATTATTAAAAATTTTAATTGCTTTGCTTATGGAAGCAACTTTTACTATTTATACATTTTGTGGTGCTATTTCTGAGAAATATACCTCAAGCAGTTTTAGCTTATGCAAGCTATTAAATTTAAAATTGTGGAAAAGGAACTACAATTAACTGCGATTAATCAGGTAAGAATTAACTGAATCACGGATTAACCGGGACATATTTTAAAAAGACTAAGTATATTTACAGCAGCATGATGGAAGTGTTATTATCGCAAATTACCAAAATAAATCAAATTTTCCACAGCAGATGCAAAAAGAGAAAATTATGAATGATATAACAAGCAATAGTAGTTAATACTACAATATCTAGGAATTGTTTTTATCTATAACACGGCGTAATTTAACTGTACATAAATACAATAAATAAAGATTGTTAATCCATTCATTAATATGAATTGCTAAATTAAAAATAGAAGTTATTCCTCATTTCTGCGCTTTTAAAAACTGTCCCATAAAACATGATTTTGGTTTAACCATGGGCATCGTCCTCTATATCACCGTGTTTAATCAGAAGTCTACTGTATTACGTTTTATGCAATCATGTAAGAAAATCATATCTAACAATGTTCATCATGTAATAGGTCAATGAGCTGTATACTACCTAATGGACTACATAAGTGGCGGAACATTTCAGTTCTAACAAAAGAACTTCTAACAACTGTTATGACAAAAATTTTTCTAGTGGATTATGATGTCATGATCTGATTGCAGACTGCAAGTTCTGGTCATCTCATGTTTCTTGCTATCATAAAATTATATGCGTTGTTAAGGTTTTATCAATGCAATCAAATTTTGTATTCATATACAGAGTAAAAATCCGATAATGTGACATTCAAAGTATCGTCTCGTCCGATTACCCGGCATATCTTTTAACGAAATCCCTACCTTATATGAGAGAGCTACTAACAGCTAGTTCTTTGCCCTAAATTTCGGGTTTACATATTGCTTGCTTTCTTATCCTCATTTATTTAATATATTTTCGGAATTAGATAAAAAATACTGATAAAGGAATAAACCGGAAACACGCTACTTAACCAATTGACTGAAAGATAAATTTTATAAATCGACTAGAATAGGTTGATAACATTACAAAAAATTAAATTCAACCATCATCTCTATAAGCGATTGATTCGATACCTCTATAAAGATCCAATGGTTATCTAACAGAATCTATGTTAATGAAGAAACTAAGCAATTACACAAAAAATTAATGTGACAAAGGATAGTGATAATAAACTGAAAGTCAGAAAAAATTAGCCAAATTTGGTAAATTTAAGAGCCGAAGGGATAAGTGCATTGAATACACGAGTAAGCAAAAGAAGTAAAATATAGAATGATGAAGAAAACATATTTAGGATTATAGTCTGTACTTTTAGTCTAAAAATGAAATTTTTCAAGAGAGAAACATGAATTAAATGGACATTCGAACTTTATTTGAAAAGATTTTATGCTCTGACAATAATGGTCATTTTAAAACAAAATTCCTTATATGTAAATAAATTTATATCTTAATAAAATAGAAATTTTTACTAATTAAATATATTTTCAGAATGACTACACACACTCTTCCTCCATACAACATATGAAGTATTCTGCAACAAAATTTTAAGTGTTGTATTAAAATTAGAGTTTCCTTTACTACTATTGTAACGTAAATATTTTATCAAAAATACCAAAAAATCAGAAATACGCCGAGACTACCCGTCAACGGTTGTTCTGCACAGCTTCTTAATATACGTATATAAACCTTAATAATAATTAGACACAGTGAGTCTATTATTAGAATATCTGCTTTACAATTTCAATATTTATAGAAAAAGAAATAAATCTTATCTACTTGAATTCTGCTCATGCTTCTTGGACGAATAAAGACTTTTTATTAATACTCGACATCAGCATTTTCACAATTTCTTTGAAGTAAAGCAGGAACTAGGATATTATTCAATAAACAGATCACAAATACAATATAATAATTCAATTCAATGCATGTCAACATTAAATTCATAGAACACTTCTATCACTAAGCAAACACGGATCAGAACGTGCATGGTAACGCTGAAAACTGATACCATCCACAATAAAAAGGATACATAAAACCTGCGTCATTAAAACATTAATACATTATAAGTCTCGTGTTCATTCAATAAAGTTATTCATAAAACAGTCTCGTGGATCAAAATCGTAAAACCAACCTTGTATTTAGCGTAAGTATATTGAAACACTCAATCGATTTCGAGGGCAGCTACAGGTCCCTCCTCATCAGGAGAAAAAAATACCTAAAAAGAAGAAAAATAAAATAAAGGGGAATCTCAGAAACACGTGGTCCTTATCAGCACTGCACTTGGTTATAACCAGATTTTTAATCAGAGTTACACCGGCCGCCTACTTTTACTGAGCCAAGCTATCTGATCAAACATGTAAAACAAAGGACAAGAAAAATTAGTGAAGTTAAAAATAGGGAGCGAGGGGGAACTGCACCTTCACGCTCAAAATCTGAACTTCGAATAATGGAAAGCTACCAAACGCGAGGAGGTAACGCCATCTATCGGCAAAAATAACTGAACTAAGGTAGTAGAATTTTAAAGGCATTAGGAAGGACTGGATTGGACTTCAAGTCATTAACTAAACCAGCTAAATCTTTGTGAATATGAAAAGCCTCAAGAAAATCCAATTCACCTATGGAAGAAGCCTTTTGGATAATGTTTGCAGACCCAAGGTCAAAAGTATGGTTAAATGTCCAACTATAATACGCTATTGAAGACTTGTTAATTTCGCCTTTTCTGACATAAGATTCATGTTCCTTGATACGAAACTTCAACGCTCTTTTTGTTTGGCCAATATATCTTAAACCACACTGACACGATATACTATAAATTCCCCAAGAATTCAAGACAGAAACGCAATCTTTTAGAATCGAAGGGTGAATTTTATTAATAGGGGAGAAACCGACTTGAAAATTGAATTTCTGGAGAACCGTGCAATTCTATAGCTAACAGAAGGATAAAATGGAAGCACGACAAGGTCATTAATATTATTTCTAACAGTGGAATGTCTTCTTTGATGGGAATCTGAAAATTTTTTAACGGCTTTATCAATAATCACGGGAGAAAATCCACGGTGAATCGCAACTGCTCTCAAATAATTAAGTTCATTGGTAAGCAAAGATTCAGAGGAACAAACTTTAAGCGCGCGGAATACATAATAGTAAAAAGAAGCCATTTTTTGCTTAAACAGGGTGGCATGACTTGGCATGGGGTGGTAAACAAACTGCAAAGGGTTTACGGTACACAGTAGTGCTAAAATCAGTTTCATTGCGGATTATAAGAATATCAAGGAAGGGGAGGGAATTGTTGGATTCAATTTCAAGAGTGAATTGGATGGCTGGATCAATTGAATTCATAATAGATAGAATCTCGGATAAATCCTCTTTATAACCGTCAAAAAATGCGAAAGTGTCGTGAACATACCGAATCCAAAGACGAAAAGATAGTTTATCAAATAATTTCATCTCAAAATAGTGCATATAAATGTCAGTAAGTATCGGACTGAGAGGATTACCCATAGCCAATCCTTCAACTTGACAAACATATGCATTTTGGAAAACAAAGTGAGTTTGACTTAGAGAGACTTTAAGGACCACGTGTTTCTGAGACTTTCCTTTATTTTATTTTTCTTCTTTCTAGGTATTTCTTTCTCCTGATGAGGAGGGAGCTTTAGCTGCCCTCGAAATCGATTGAGTGTTTCAATATACTTACGCTAAATACAAGGTTGTTTTTACGATTTTGATTGTCACATTAGCGTGTTTCTCTTCTAATCTAGTCTCGTGGATATCTTCCGAAGTTTATTGACGGCATTACGTAACAACTATTTTTAACTTAAGGGTTACATCTTTCAGTGATTTTATTTATAACTTCTTTATTATTATTAATCCCCTATTACGTCAATACAAACCCTTGATTTACGATTCCTGTGAAAATTGATACTAATTATTTGCTAATGAATTGTGTGTTTCTTCTGTAAAACACGAAATACTTACAAAAAGGTATAACTTCTTCGTTCTTTGATAATCATGTGTAGTAAATACAAGGAAGAAGAAAAAGAAATATATAAGGCATTTTTGAATTATATTTCATGAAAATTAGTTGATTAGCAGTTTTGCTGTTAAACAATACTTATCCAAATAATTACAAATTCCTTCCCATTGCTATTAATCAGTATAGACGAAGCAGAGGATGAATTTCGTCATCCCAGATGAAGAGTTTAGAATAGACCTCAATTTCATTCAACAAATACCTAATACCTCTAAAACTTCATATTAGACATTAAAAGTGTATTGAAATTCTAAGTGGAATTAATAAATTATATATTTTTCTTCACAAAACAAGAACTGTAAATTAGGAGCTATGATCGGACTAGTGATTCCACAAAGGAGAAACATTTATTGACAAACATTTTTAAACAATGATTTAATCTTCACAACCATCACTCTAGGAATCTCCAGTATGGTACCTTTGAACTCTAGCTCTGGTTGCCAGACGTGTTCAAAGGCTTTCACCTCATCTGGCATCAGTTTAGCAGCACTCCCTTTTGTTGTGTAGCGCAGAGCCGATGAATCCTATTATATGGACAAGCTGAGTAGGCATAGAAATTCTTTTCTGGAAATCATATTCGTGGTCTGCGAGACAGTTGAGTTCGCTTAACAATCAGCTGTAAATCAGGTCTCAAGTATTTTAT